GACCACATTTATATATATACATATACATACACACACACACACACATACACACATACATACATACATACATACACATAACACAGAGAACAGAAAATTGTGTCTGGGAACTTCATAATTATCCAGGGAGAGGAGGGGAGGGGAGGGTAACATGAAATAAGACTGGTCGTGGGGGAATTGTTGAAGCTGGATCATGAGTACACAAGTGTTGGCTCTAATATTTTTTATACTTTTGAATGTATTTGAAACTTTTGTAATAGAAAGATATGTGTGTGTATAAGTAGGAATAAATCCAAAAAAAGGTGTGTATGGTTTTTACAGCAAAAATTGTTCAACTTTATTAAAAGGTATATATTTTTAAAGGCCCTAGGAGACTAACAAAACAGACCTGAACAGAGAAATAACCTACCTTCCTGGACAGAATGGTTCAATATTAAAAGATCTCAATATCAATTCAATGCAGTTCTAACCAAAATCTCAAAATAAATTTTTGTGGAACTCATGGAACTTGAAAACGGATCCTCAATTCATATGGAAGAGCAAAAGCCCAAGAATAGCGAAAACAATTTTGAGAACTAGGATGGAGACTTGCCTTTCTTGTTACCAACTGCCGCAAGACACATTATAAAACCAAGGTAATTAAAACAGTGTGATATGGCATAAAGACACATGGATCAGCGGAATAAAATAGAGAATCCAGAAACAGATCCGTGTATTTATGAGAACTTTGTACAGGACAGAGTCGGCTTGGCTTCAGCAGGTAAAGGATTTCATAGATGGTGTTGGGACAAATGATTATCCAATCAGAAAAGAGTAATACTCGACCTCTACTTTATATCCTATATGAGCCAATTTTAAATGGAAAGTAATTCATAATAAAGCAGCATATGTTTAAATATACAAATGTTCAGGCTGACTACACTAGAATACATAATGAAGTACAGCAGTCAGATGCTTGCACCTAAACTTAGAATCGCCACGAACGCAAAAGCTACAAATGCAGGCTCATGCAGGTGTGTTGTATGGCAACTCAAATACCACGAGCTGGGCTGCCTTCGGTTATGCGATCTTCTCAAGTGATGAACAACTCTTGTTAAAGTTCCAAAACACAAGTAAGTATAATTTCCCCTTGATTTACATTTGAGTTGCATTCCTGGAAATTTTACTATAGCAAGCTGTGCCAAAAAAAAAAAAAAAAAAAAATATATATATATATATATATATATATATACACACACATATATATAATGTTTATATGAAAAATGGAGTTAGGCTCTAGGCTCAGATTATAAATGGCTACCCTGTGGGACACTCAAAAATTGTGCAGGATGCAGGACAGTTCTTCACTGCAGAACATCTAGCATCCCACCCTGCTCTGTAAACCCCAGTAATGCCGCCAAAATCACAATTATAACCAAGTATGCTCTCACAAATTCCAAAATGACCAACAGGGCAGTACCATCCCCTTGGAGAACCACTGTTCTAGAAAAATTCTTGCATTAAGAGACATGTACAGGGATGTTTATTGCAGCTTTTTTCATAATAGCAAAACATCTGAAAAAACGTTAAGTGTCCACCAATAAGGGAATGGATATGATGTTACACTCATAAGAACGGATACAACATTATACTCATAAGAAACACTTAGAATAAATGAACTTGGCTATCTGTATTGATATGAACGTATCTCAAAAACAATGTTGAGGGGCGCCAGGGTGGCTCAGTTGGTTGAATGTCCAACTGATCTTGGCTCAGGTCATGATCTCGCGGTTCGTGGGTTCAAGCCCCATGTTGGGCTCTGTGCTGATGGTGCAGAGCCTGCTTGGTATTCTCTGTATCCCTCTCTGCCCCTTCCCCGCTCACAATCTCTCTCCCTCTCTCTCTCTCAAAAATAAGCATTAAAAAAAATTTTTTTTAATGTTGAGTAATAAAAGCAAATTACAAAATGAAGCCCACAGTATGACACTACTTGTATTTTTAAAATTAAAAAAAGCAATTTATATCATTTATAATGTACAGATATACCACAAAAATACAAATACATGGGCATGAATGATGTACAACAATTTCAAAAGAATGTTTGCCTCTGGGAGGGAAGAAGGGAGGAAGGTAAATGGGGCCAGAAAAGAGAACAAAAGGGATCTGAGGATTAAATCTGGGATGTTTTATTTATTTCAAAGAAAAAACTGAAGCCGAGGTGCCCAAATGTTAATGTTTGTTAATCCAGTTAATAGGGCATAGGTATTCATTATACTACCCAGTGTGATTGTCTGTTTATGAAATTTTTGAAATAATTCTTAATTTTTAACCAGGTAGCTGGTGGCTCAGTGCATATGAATCGAACTCAGAGACCAGAGATTAGTGACCAATAGGGGACTCTCTGGGTAAGGGATAATGCGGGTCTGGACTCCTGCCTTACCTGTGAAAATGGAAAGGGGTGGAGAGAAAAGGTGTTAGAGAAGACTCAGGTTTCCTGCTTGTTTGACTGAGCTGACTTGTACTACCCTAACAAGGTAACTAGTTAAGTTTAATTGCTGCTGTTTTGGATATTGCACAAATAACCTGTAAAACTTGACCAACTCTAACACCTAGAATACGGGGCAAGTGGTAGCCGAAGCTGGTTCTATTAGAAATATTGTGCTTCAATCCCCCATGGAAGCTTAAATGTTCATGAGACATTGGGGTCCATATAGGACATGGCTTTAAAGTAAGGAGATAAATATCCCCAAGTTCTTATAGGAATGAGGTTCATCACAGGGTGCCTGGGTGGCTTGGTCAGTTAAGCATCTGACTTTGGCTCAGGTCATGATCTCAGGGTTCGTAGGTTCTAGCCCTGGTTTGGGCTCTGTGCTAATGGCTTGGAGTCTGGAGCCTGCTTGGGATTCTGTGTCTCCCTCTCTCTCTGCCCTTCCCCCACTCGCACTCTGTCTCTCTCGCTCTCTCAAAAATAAAGATTAAAAAAAATTTTTTAAAGTAAGAATGAGGTTCATCACTTTATAACCAATCTATACATTTTCGCACTACGCTTGGGAAGGAAAGGCTGGATATAGCATATAGAGTGCTGTTATGGGAAAGGAGTGAACATCTAGTCATTTTATATTGTTAAATTCAGCGTGGGACTAATGCTTGTAATAAAATATGTATTATAAATATGCAACATGATTAAAACCATGGTGTTTTTGATTAACGTCCAGGACTTTTTCAAACCTGGAGAATGGATGGTTTAGCCAAACTGGTTTCCAAAGTCCATTTACCTAAGTCTATGGCATTTAAAGCAGGTAGACTAGAATCAGAATAAAATAATGTCTCTATTTGAACACCCTGTTTAGTAGCTGACCAGCAGAACAGTTATGAGGCCAATTTCCCCCCTCTGTGCTCATGTTGTGAGGTCCTTCTTTGGAAAGAGATTGCCCAAAACTTTTAGAGGTACATAGAGTGCAGTCCTCATTCATTTACCATTGGTTCTTCATACCCTTTCATGCAGCTCTCAGAGAAAACAGAGAGGCAAACGTTAAGGTGCCTGACCCCTGCATGTACAGCCTTATAGATTAAAAATACACTGTTCACCACCGCTGTCAATCATGTGTGAGAATAATAATGGCCATTACAAGATGACTTACAGTTCAATACAAATGTGGATTCCATAGAGGGTAACTTGGCCCTAGTGCTGCTGGTGGTGGGAGATAGGTAGTTCACCCATTCCTGGACTGTCACTGGCTCAAGCCCTTGAAGGCAGAAAACAGGGATTACAGGGGTGAATGGCCCTTCTTCGAGGATTCCTTTTCCCTTTCCTTTATAGCCTTCCAAACCTTCAACTATAATGCGGGGGGGGGGGGGGGGGGGGGATCATTTATTTTTCTACATTAAACATTCCACTATGGCTTTAATTTTAATATATTAGGATAATGCTCTCACCTTTGTAATTAAGTAGAACGCAAGTCTGGGAAAAATCAATCGTGGAGCTACCTAAATGCCATCCATATGACATCATCTCAACGCACTGAGAGAAAAAGGGGATCGATGGATCCAGATCTCGTCCTCCCACCTCCTTTCCTGGGTGGTGTTTGGACTTGAAGGTACCATAGCGACTATTAGCTGCATCACCATGGGCTCTCCGGACAGCAGCACCCCAGTGCTGGAGCGTCAATAACCCGGGAACCAGGGCTCTAGCGTCTCTCCCCAGCCCTGTAGCTGGTTCAAACTGGCGCAGGAAAACCTCGCCCCCAGGTCTCATTTGAAGAATGTTCGCTCAGCTACCTCCCAGACTGGAAAGATGAAGGTCTCGATCACAAGGTATTGGAATCAGGCACTGACATTTCACTTTCTTAGGAGCATGAAAATTAAACCATTCCTTCTTTCCTAATTAATTTCCCAATTAAGTATTTATTAGCCACCGGGCCTCGGGTCCAAGAGCTACGCTAAGGGTAAGGGTGCTCTGAGAGTCCACGCACAGCCACCCACCCACGCTTTCTTCCACACTCCTCAGCCCCAGCCTCCGCCATTCTCCCTTCTCAGCCGCCCCCACTTTTCCCACCTCCCCCTCACCTGGCTCTCCTTCTCCCAGGTCCCCTACTCACACCTCACTGTCCGGCCAGTTCCAGCCCACAGGGGCTTTGATCTACTTACGACGAATCACAAGTGGGTTTTCATCCAGGCGATTCCAGATCCGCTAATCAGCGCCACTCTTTCAACGCCCAGTTTCCTTCTTATTTGCTTACGTCCACAGGGCCTCCAGGCAACGCGGAGCGGGGTGGGTGGGCACGTCGCTCTTCTTTACGCCCTCCGATTGGTCGGTGCTTTTGGTCGAGGCTCAAGTTAGATTGGGTCGAGGCAGTCCTGACTCCGCCCCCGTCCCATCCCGTTGTCAATCATACTATCCTTTAGGTAACCCACAGGACCATTGGTCAGTGCTGCCTGGGGGCGGGTTGTCAGGCGAGGGAGAGCTGCTTCTCTCGGCCTCGCTGTTACCATGGAGACCGTACAGCCAGGTTGCGTAGCGCAGGAAGGCGACCCCTTCCCCTCATCGGAAAGTCCGGAGATTTGTACAGCAATCTATACGTTAAAGTCTGTTTCGGATTCTGATAGACATCTCAGTCCCCGACACAGTGGTTCGGGTGGGGCTCGGGACTCTGGGGGCAAGTCAGATTAGGCCTCGGAGAGGTGGGGTGAGGCCCAGTCATTAAGGGTCCCTAAACCCCACCCCCACCCCGCGAAGGGAACAGAGGCCGAAGCACAAGTTGTGACAGCATCATGTTTTCATTTGTCCTTACCTCGCCCTATTTTATTTGGGGTTATTCTTCCGTCAGCCCTAGGAAGTAGACTATGGCAAGGGTCATTTTTCTCATGGGGCAGACTGAGGAAGCAAGGTCGGGGTCATAAAGTAAATCTGTAGCCACACCTCCAGGCAGCTGGAACTGCACTTACCTAACTGCAGACTAAAACTTGCCGTGATTTTGCTCCAAAGCTATGTATGGCTGTTAGACCAAAACATCCATAAATCAGGCCAACCAAAGGAAATAGGACAGAGGACGCATGCTCCACTGCTGAATCAGGAAGCGAAAACAGACAACAATCAAAACAAACAATACCAAATTTGAGAACTACAGTATCTGAACCTTTGACCTGAGACAAAGTTCTGAAACATCGTGAAGCAAACCATTCTTGGAACACTGAATCTGTGATTTAGGGAATTTAGCTCCCAGGTCATAGCTTTATGAGTAAAATGGAAGAAGATGGTTGAATTCCACTGAATGTAAGTCTCAAATTTACTCTACTTTCAAGGTTTCGTTTGCAGTCGTATGTCTTAACCAACTACTTCTTATGTGTTTAACAACATCACCACTTGCCCAATGAGAAGCTTTGAGGTGAAGAAAGCCGTTGTTTTAATTAATTCATTCCACTGGAATTGAGTGTTAACTGTAGCTAGGCACTGGTAGGGACTCTGAGGGTGCAAAAAATTCCATGTGATTCCTGCCTTCCTTAACAGGCTGTTGTGTTGTTACCACCAACAGCATATGAAACACTTAGGAAACACTTTTAGAGAAAATATAACGTGCTAAACTTAAATGCTCCCCAAGATAATAATAATACTTCATATTTGCAGAGCATTTTGTAGTTTTCAGAGCACATCTTCCCTTGTATTATTTGGGGGAAATATTGTTTTGGCTGGAGTTAATGGGAGTCTTCATGATATAGCTAGAACTAATGCTGGGTCCTGGCATATGGGTAGGAATAGAAAAGGTGGAACAGAGATGGAAGGGAATCCAGGGAGAGAAAATAGTCTGAACAAAGAGTTGGAGATGAGGAGGACTGAGTATCTGGGGAACAATTTGGAGACTGGTGTAAGCTAGAGTGGAGGCAAATAATGGAAAAAACACTGTTTATTTTATTTTTTAATGTGAAATTTATTGTCAAATTGGTTTCCATACAACACCCAGTGCTCATCCCAACAGGTGCCCTCCTCAATGCCCATCACCCACCCTCCCCTCCCTCCCACCCCCCAAAAGAACACTGTTTAGACCAGCTGGTCAGGACCAGTTCTTCGTATTTTGGGGGAGAGAGAGTGTTTAAAAGTTTGAGATTGGGAAAGTTGACCTTCTTCTATGTCTATTGATCAGGCTGACTTAATTATAAATTAAGAATAAGGCATGACTGAGAAGGCCCTCCAGAGCTCTTACATCTTCCTGAATGGATATAACATTTTCGGTTTTCTCTCCCATCAAGGGACCTGCCCTGCAAGCCCCATCCCTATTTCACCCCCTAACTGGGACAAGGTATGAGTTTTCTGATTAAATAATGATAATCTACCTCTCATTGATATTGGATAGCACTCCATCTTTTGCCATCTCTTAATCAAAGTTCACTCTAGAGAAGATTGATTACTTGACTATCCAATCTTTCTCTTTTCACAAATTGTCTCCTGTGTCAAGTGTTACACAGTGCCTCTCCACGTGGCTCCAAATCTCTGCTGTGTATGTATTGCTAATACTGTGCTTATACATAGGTGATATATGCCTATCATTTAATTACAATTTTCTTTCCTCCTAAACAAACCAAAAAGCTCGAGCAATAACAATAAAAACCAGTGTCTTATTTTCCTCTTTTTTAAACGTGTAAAATCATTTGTTATGCTATCTGATAGAGGTAGGGTAGCAAAAAGAGGTCATCAGGATGTGGCATGCAAGGAGTGATTTCAGGAGAAGACATAGAGTTGTCTGGTTCATTTTATAGTCATTTTTTTTTCTGCCAGAGAGTCCTGAATTTTTTATGTACATTTTCTGATGTGTGATTATGTGAGCATTTCTGTAGGTCTGAAAATGTACCCAAAACTTAAGTAATTGTTGGCTATTAGCTGAGACGCAAAAGCGACTATTGTTCTATCCTGCTAATTAGGCAACTGGGTAAACAAAAATTTCCCCCCGTACTATTGTCTGTTGTTGAACGCAAGTTACTGGCTTTTCAAGCTCATCCAGAATCATCACCATGGTTTTCCAACTCATAATATTTACCTGATGCTGTAGACCAGGGGTCAGCAAACTGTGATCTGGGGGTCCAATCTGACCTGCCATCTATTTTTTGTAAGACCTGCAAGCTAGGAATGAATTTTATGTTTTTAAATGGTTGGGGGGGGAAAAAAAGAGAAAGGTGTGAAAATGATATGAAATTCAAGTCTCAGTGTCTATAAGTAAGGTTGTATTGGAACATGGGCATGTTTGCACAGTATCTATGGTGGCTTTCACTTCACAACAGCAGAGCTGAGTAATTAATACAGAGACTGTATGGCCCGTAAACCTAAAATACTTATTGCTGAGCCCTTAGGAAAATATTTTGAGCCTTACTGTCTTAGAAGTCTCTAATGAATTAAGTCCCATGGAATGTTGGAACTGAAACAGACTTTGGAAATCATGTTAATAAAAAGCAAAACAAAACAAAAACAACACTGATAGAGATAAGTTATTCCTTGGCCTAAAATCGTACAGTCAGTGAACAGAGCTAGTACTAGAATCCTGGTTCCATTGGCCCAAGGTTTCTTTCATCCATGCTCAGTCTTTTCCCATGTAGAGCTTATCTTTCTTAGGATGGAATAGGTGTTGTATACTCTGGAGGCAAGGAGAATTCATCACATCTTTCCAAATTTTGATTTCATGTCTCATCTGGACAAATACAGTGCACTATGATCAATTTATGGATACTTGGACTTTCATTATTTCTGCCAATATGATGGTGTCTTCTCTTTTTCATTTTTTCTCATTTCTCAAAAGATGTATTACCGTCATGAAAAACTTTCTCACTTCCATGCTCTTTTTCTCTTTTAAAAAATCTCTTTCTGCTTCAACAAAGGAATTCAGAGGTGGCTGAGTTTCTACCCCAGTCTAAGTTTCTTCAGGGAGATGAGGATGGTTAAGAAGCCGTAGGACACACTTATTACTCTGAAGTATGTGGATGGACCGCATGTGTGGAAAGGGAAGGGGGGTGTCCACAGTCCCCCCGAATGGCAACAGTTAGTGTGTATGTGCATATGTAGGCTTTCCTGGGGGGAGTATCCATATCTTAAGATTTTTAAGAGCCCGTGACCCCAAGAAGAATTACAGATCTATAAAAAGAGACATGTTTGGGGCAGAAAGCTACTCAGACGTGTGACAGGGGAGACTGATCTGGGCTCTAATGTCTGTGAGACCTCAGCTGATACGAGGGAAAAACTCTGTGCCCACTTACATCAGCCCACCCAAGTTTTTTTTTACCTTCTCTGGTGCTCATAGAGGTGATAAAAATTCATCAGATTCACATAACGATTGAACTCAGATGGTGATGAAATCCCAGTATCATTCTCTCCAAAGAATGTTCTGATTAATAGAAACTGCAGAGGAACTAATTTTATGAAAATAGCAAATGGGATTGTTTTAGCTGAAGCAAGCCGGGAGAGCGGGTGCTGAAGCCGAGCGGAAGATGCCGACAGCCCCATTGTGTAGAGCTGACGGCTGCAATCTGGCCGTTTTATTTATTAAATGTCTTTCCGCTGTACATTATGAAACCTGGATTCTGGGAGAGGAGGGAGCAGACAGAATAAGACAATAGGATCAAAAGCAAACCTGGACAGCTTCCTTCAGCATCACTGTAGCCCTGTGTCTTGTGAAAGCCTCTGTTTCCCCTGGTTTAGAGAAGAAGGTGAGTTCCCTCTTTGGTGGGACTCATAAATGGATGAGACGAGTAACAGGTTTTTGATTTTGAATTATTTGTCTGTCGTTACAGATCAGGATGTCCCTCAGAAAATTCAACCTGTTGGCTCAGCAACTGAGAGCCATGTATTTTGTCTATTTTCTAAAAGGACCGCTTTGCCCATACAAGGAAGAAGTTGTTCTGCTTTAACATTAAGAAATAACAAATTAGGAGTGCCAGGGTGGCTCAGTCGGTTAAGTATCTGACTTTGTCTCAGGTCATGATCTCGTGGTTCACAAGTTCGAGCCCCACGTCAGGCCCTGTGCTGACAGCTTGGAGCCTGGAGCCTGCCTCGGATTCTGTGTCTTCCTCCCTCTCTGCCCCTCATACTCTGTCTGTCTCTCTCTCTGAAAAATAAATAAAATACTTAAAAAAAAAAAAAAAGAAAAGAAATACCAAATTAGGGGCGCCTAGGTGGTTCAGTCGGTTAAATGTCTGACTTTAGCTCAGGTCATGATCTCGCAGTTCATGAGTTCGAGCCCTGTGTCAGGCTCTGTGCTGACAGCTTGAAGCCT